TTTTTTTAAAGGCAAATTAAAGAGGCAGAGTAAGCCCAAGACAAGACTATATCCATTCATATAAATATTTTTATTAGTGGCTTACAGCAGTATCAACCAAAGTACAGCATCAGGAGGGGACTGAAGTCTATGCTTTTTGTTCTTTATAACTTTATATTTTCTTATTTTCAAAATCAATAGTAACTGTTTTAATATGTGAATCATTGACTAAAGCTTTAACTGGCAATAAAGAAGAACCACCTACAGGTAGTCCTCGCTTAACAACCATTCAAAGTTATGACGGTGCTAAAGTGACTTACAACTGGTGCCCAAAGTTATGACCATCACAACACCCCCACAGTCACATGATCATGATCCGGGCGCTTGGCAGCCAGCTTGCACTTATGGCGATTGTAGTGTCCCAGAGTCAAGTGATTGCCATTTGCAACCTTCCCAGCCGGCTTCCAGCAAGCAAAATCAATGGAGAACCACTTAATGACTGCATGATTTGCTTAATGAACACCACATAAAGGTCGTAAAATCAGGTCTGGTCACATGGTGATTTGCTTAATGACCACATCGCTTAGCGACCTAAATTCTGGTCCCAGTTGTGGATGTTAAGCGAGGACTACCTGTATATTCAGTGGCATTAAATACAAAGCTATAACTGGTGTGGGATTATGTTCCATCTTCCAGTCTCGCTCCTATCTCTGCCTGAATTTGCTAGCTGAAATAGTAAACTTGGCAATTTGAATAGTGAAATATTTTGGTACCATTATGTTAAAAATGGGAAAACTAGTAATTAATACTTGTTCTTGCATCTTAGTTCATAGTCATGCTGAAGATATTCTTTCTTCCTACTAGACTTTTACAAAAAGATTTTGCTATCTTTTCCTGAGTCATACTTCTATCTGAAAGAAGTAAGATAGCGGGGGTGGAGTGGCTGATGGAGAGTAGGATTGTATGAGGGAAAGAACACAGGAATAGCAGATTAAATTTTTACTTCTATTGCAACTGCTAAGGAAGCCCGCAGACAGCAAACCTGTGAAGCCATTAAGCAATCTCAAGAAACTGTTATTTTGAAAAAGAATGGGAGCCTTACCCTTAAAAATAAAATTAGTTTCAGCCAAGAATACTTCAGATATAGTGCAGATAGAGTTCATCCAAAATAGTGGTTAAACACAGTTCTGATAAGTCAACATGGTTTTTTTCAGTCAAATGATGCAATTTCAAAGAAAAATTAACAAAGATTTGTAACTGTGGCAGTATTTTAGAAAAGTTAACCAAAAAAATAAAATGTGGTTAATAAGAATATTCCAGTTCATATTTACTGCTTTGTGGATATTTGTAGAGCCTTGCAAATAATTGTTAATAATTAGTTAATAACTATATAGCAAACAACTATATATCAGTCTTCCCTGCCAGGTAGCTATTATTACTGCTATTCACCACAGGTAAGGAGGGTTGTCATTGCAAAAGAAAAAAAAAAAAAGGAAAGAAAAGAAAAGAAAAGAAAAGAAAAAGTAATGGCACAGTTGAAATGTCCTAGATTAAGTTAATATGGTTTTAGAGTTATAAAATCCCATGCTTAGGCAACACACATACCCCTCTATAAAACTGCACTGAAGCCAAAATAAAAAAATATAGCACTGATGTATTCTCTGTATATAGATCCTCCCCTCTAAAAAATATATGAAGACCCATGCAATGCAGTGTCTCTAAAATACTGCACAAGATGCTATGTGAGTCACACAGGCAATGCTTTCAGGTTTTATTATTCTTTGCTTTACTTTTTTGAGCATCTTTAATTTCAAATCTATTTTTTGTTTGTTTTATCAAGTATAACACCCATGAGTAAAACAAATACTACAGGACAGAAATATGTGACATGAATTGCTATTAGCAATTGCCAATCATGTTTACTACCAGCAAACAGACAAGGAATATAAATGGTTAAGTGCAGATCAAAGTATTGCTTGCTGTAGAAAACTCAGGAAATTTTAAGAAATGTAACACAAACTTAAAGCAGTGTGGTCCTTAATGCATTATTTTAAAGTTAGCATTAATGAAGTTAAGTGTTTTTAACTTCAGAAATAAGGAACCAAACCAATGAGAAATTCTCCTCTCTTTGCATTTCATTTTCTATAAGAGTAAGACACAAGGGGTAGTGTATTCAAAATGAAACTAGACAGATGTTCCTGGAAGCTGTTGTACCCACCTCTCACTGTAGCAAGATTTAGCTTACAAGACTATTTGCTTTCTGGAAGATGAAAAATTACTCCCCACCCCAGAATAGCAACTATTTATAACAAAACAATCATAATTCTGCTCCAAAGAGCAGACCAACCACTTCTAAGGACAAAGTTACACCTCTGATTCCTCTTGTGTACCAACACTGTTCCATTCATTGCAAACTTGTTAAACCATCTCATTTCTTAAATGAAAACAATTCTCCTTAAAACTTCTGTTGATAGCAAGCTTCTCAACAAATCCATCATCCAATTATATAATTACAATCAGTTTTATCTCAGCCTATACCATAGTCAACCCCATCTTAAAATTACTCACAAGATAGCTGTCAGCAGAGGATGAATTTCTAAAAGTATCCCAATGTACAACTTATATTGGCATTTCTATTCTTACCTTCCAAAATATTCCCCTAGGCTCCTGACAGCTTGAGGAGATCCATAAATCTTGTGTACCATGGAATCATTTTAACAAACTTTCATTCTTCCAACACACTTCCCTGCTTCTTTAACTTAAGCACTCTGTACGCAGATCTGTCCCTTCTTGAGGAGCACTTTAATGTTTCTTCATTCACATGCAGTCAATCTTCTAGTCTCAAATAAGCTCCACATCTACTTTCTAGCTATCCAGTTTCTATTCTGTACCTAATCCTCCCACAACTTGTTCCTTTTAACAAGCCCCACCCAAATTTAATATATCTTTCAGCATTGGACTTCTACTTTAAATCCAACTTCTAGAAGTATTTTCTTCTCTTCAAGCATTGAAGCATTACATTATTAACTAGATCTTTAATCAGTTTTTACATACATGTCAATATATCCTTTATCCTCATTTTGAGGTACAGATCTAGTGAACTCTGAACATCTGGTGAACATCCATAACAAAAAACACCCCAGATACCCCACTTATGTGATCAACTCTTCAGAGCAACAAAATTATTAAGTATTCTTAGATACTCAAATAGGTAAAACTTTAGCATATTTTGTACATTACTTTAAATTCTATTTTTCTACCAAAAGCAGGATTTAAGGCAGCTACCTCCAAAATACAAAATAAGTATAACAGGAACATTATTATTCTATCATTCACCCACAAAGAAACCACTAGCCTGTTTCAAATCACCTGAATACAACTTTATTCTTAGTTGGACAACCTTACCTAGGTTTGGAAGTTATGCAGGGTGTGGTCAGGTATAATAATCAGACAGGAGACCTTCAGAGAATACCACAGCTATAGGCTAGATTGGGGAGTCAAACAAAATCCCAGAAAAATGCAGTGCCAAACAACTTCCTGCAGCTTACATTTTTGCTCTCTGGTTGGTGTGAGCAAGTAAAACTCACCTTGAAAGAGACTCCACCTTTTACACACATCTAAATTTATTTCCTGACATTAACTTTTTTTCCTGTTTCCACAAGTTTCCAACTTACATAGGATCTTATTCAGCTGTCTTATATAAATGTTTCCAAAAACATACCTAGATATCAATGCTACCCTGTGCCTAGTCAACAATCATCCCAGTTCCTACTGTTTTAACCCATTTTACTGCAATCCCCCTATCCAGAAAATACTGTGCCTCCTGCAAATCCATTACTGTATCTAAACCCAATCTCTTCTTCATGATACATCTCTCCAAACACTGCAACAGAACATGTGTAAGGTACCCCTCCCCCATTACTTAAGTTCTTACAGGACTGGGCTTCCAACTCCCCCCAAGCCTCCCATTCATATTCCTAACACTCATTGGTTGAAGAGAGGCCTCAAAAGTAACATACATTATCCATATATCCTTTTAAACCCCTACCCAGCTAAACCAAAGTACCTCTCTTTAGAAATAAACCTCACTGATTCTCTAGTGCTTTCAGACAAATAAATCTACTCAGCTCACACCCACCCACTTTTCCTAAACCCTTCATTCAGTCCCACAAGCCTGCCAGAAAACTGTTTCTCACATTCAAACACCATTCTGAGCACCAGCCTTTTCTTCCTTGCCATCTCTTCAGCTGGCTCCTCAATTCCCACTTCCTTCCACTAATTTTACTTGTCTTTTTCTCCTCTCTTAGCAGCAGACTCTCTCCTTGCTCCCCCCCCCCCCCCCCCCCCAGCCTTAATCTCCTTTTACTGGGGGCTTCTGTGAATCTCAGTCTGCTACCCACCCTCATCTTGCTCTTCATCCATCATTCTCTCCAGTCTTCCTTATATAACCGTAGCTCCTTCCCCAAACTGCAGCCCTCCAGATATGTTGGACTACAACCCCAATTATCACAACCAAAAGACGGGACTTATAATTCCAAACATCTGAAGAATACCCATTTGTGGGAAAAAATTAGCCCAGTTCATTAGAGACTCTGTGTGTGTGTGTGTGTGTGTGTGTGTGTGTGTGTGTGTGTGTGTGTGTTGGGGGAGCGACTTGCTCAACGTAGCGATTTCCCTACCCAAGCAAGCTTCTCCCAGACGATTCACATCCTCATCTCCTCCTAGGCCCCCATTTCTTTAGCTATCCGACCGAGATACCCCCAGTCATAAGTATGCAAGTTTCCCCCGCCACATCCTCCAGCCCCTTTTCCCTTACCAACTCCCCGAGACACCCAAATGCAGATCTCTTTTAGTCGTAACTCCTGACCTCCACCTCCCAATTTAGCCCACCACAGTCCCTCCTCGCCCTGCACTACCGCGACCAGCCCACACTTGGCTTCTCCCACCTTCCCGGTCGCCTGACCCGTGTCCACCGTTCCCGCGCCCCAGACCCCAGTTCATCCAGCCAGGGTCTCGCTTACCTGCTAGGGCTCCAGAGCGAGTCGAGGAACACACGGGATCCCCTCTCCCTCGGCTGGGCGACGCGGCGCTGGCTCCCAACCCAGCCAGCCGGGATCCCTTGGAGGGGCTGGGATGGCCAAATGCTTGCGTGCTGAGGAGAGACGGGAAGGAGGAGAGGAGGCGGGGGGACAGGAGGAGGAGGAGGAAAGGGCGGCGGCAGCAGCAAATGAGCCCCTCCCCGTCCGATCTCGGCGACAACAAGAGCCGTTACTCCTCCCCCAAGCAGGAATAGCCCCAGACTCAGCGGAAGGAGGGGCGTGTTGCGCGCCCACTCGTCCTAGGCTTCCTCGAGCGCTCCTCGCTATTGGTCAGCCACGCCCCACCCTGCCCAGCAACCGATTTCTTACTGGCTTTCTGGTTCGCGGGGTCTGCTTCTCTCAGAGAGCAGCTCTGAGTTAAAGAGGGTGGAGCTACACTTGGGCGGCTGTCCAATGAAATGCTCACCCGCTACTTCTTCCTCCCCTCCTTTTTCCCTTTGCTCTGCCGCGGCTTCTTCCAGAAGGTCTTTGCCTCCCTCCGGGAGGGCGGGAGCGGTTTTTCGATGGAGAAGGGCAAGCGAGGCTTTTTGGCACCCGGATGCGGGCACGTTTAGAGAGGCCTTACTAATTTCGGTGAGAGTCCCTCCGTAATAACCACGTTTTAGGAACACTGTACGGCCGAACAGGGAAATAACCCCCGTTTATCCAGTGTTTTTCTCATACAACTTTAAAATCCCGCTTGTGAAGCGGGCTTTTACGCGTGTTCAACCAGGAAGCAACAGTTGCTGATTTCAGTGGGACGCTGCTTTTGAGCTAAGGTGGCAATCCAGGAGTACCACCTCACAGGGTTATTGTGGAGAAAGTAGGAGGCAGGAGAATTAGGTATGTTTGCTGCCTTGCATTATATATAAAAAAGGCAGAATAAAAATATCATCATAGTAATAATCCTAGTCGTTGGCCCCAATTTTAACCACGCTTGGAAAGCAAAAAATGTACATGGCCTGCAATCTTTTCCCAGTCCTGAACTCTAAAAACAGTTCACCTTTCCGCTGGTCTAGTCTAGCAGGGATCATGGCTTTCCTGGTGCTTTGGCGTTGCACAAGCATTCATTCTGAAGAGAGTTAAGCACCACAGTCTGATGCTTAGGTGATGATGACTCCATTTCCCATTTCAACACACGTGTGAGGCAAAGTTAAGTTATGGCGCCCGTAAGGGTACACATCCCTAAGTTAAGTGGGACTTACTTGTGCAGGAGGAGTCACTGCAGATGGCAGTCCACTGTGCTTTATGTTTAGCACCATAATTATAAAATACTTTGGGACAGAATCGGATTTGGATTGCTTTTAAGATAGGGGTTGGCTTTGTGGGAGCGAGGTTCTTTGTATGAAACCAGAATCCCATCATAGTTAAACTATTTTGGTGACCATGTTTATTTGCAAATAAACTTGTTTCATTTATTACTGAAACCTAGTTGAAACAGGACAGAGGTATGGCTCTCAGATTTGCTGTCCTAAGTTTCAGGTCACAGCAGTTGCAGTGTTAAGGAAGGGGGAGAGCTAATCTTTAAAAACAGCTTGCCTATAAATAGGGGTTGTATGCTTGGGGTGATGGAGTGTAAATTCCTGTAAGTGAAGTTGGTCTTTGGGGACAAGTTAGGGATCTTGCTCATATGCTGTCCATCTACTGCCTGCGGGATCCATTCCTGAGGTCCTGGATCTTGTTGCTAAATGGGTGTTGCTATCTCCCCAACTCTTCTTGTTAGAGGATTCAACCTCCATGCCTGTGGTCCAGTGGAGGGAGATGGATCTGAGAAACCTTAGAAGTTTATGGATTCCATGACAACAGTGGATTTATCTCAGGTAATCATAAGCCTGACACATGCTGGTGGACATAAGCTTCATCTTGCATGTGCCCCAGAGCAGCTGCTGTGTGAACTGAAAATGGAAGATATTACTTTGAGTCCTTTGCCATGGTTGCAACCTAAGACCTCCATAGGTAGAAGGACCAGTTAAGATTACAGGGTTTACAGGATTAAGATTTACAGGATCTGTAAGTCATTTTACAGATCCTGATAAAGTCCAATAAGGTTTTGGGGATTTCCTAGTGATCTGATAGATAAAGTTCCATTGAGGCCTTTATTTAATGTTGAATCAGGAGGTGACCAGGATGCTTTGAGTGATTGCCTCTGAACAGCCTTTCTTTGTTCACCAATCCCAGGATGCTCCTAATTCACCAAGGAACTCTGAGAGATAAAAACAGAAATGAAACATGGAGTATCTGTGGGGGAAGCAAAAAGTCAACTTAACCAAACATGAATAAGAGAATATGCTCAAATATGTATTCTGGTGGTAAGTATGGTGAAATGTCAGTATTTTTATGTCTTTATTGCATTAGCAGGTTGTCATCCAGCATCTTTGCTTAACATAGCCCATTCTCTGTAAGAAAAGGATAGACAGGAAGATCTACGAATGGTCCACTATGATGTGGTTGCAGATTTTATTGATAGTCATTCAAATTCTCATGAATCTTGATTCTTAATTGATGGGGCCTGATGGTCAGTGGGCAACATCTTATAATGTGATCTGAGACTCATTTTGACTTGTGGATTTTCTTACCTCTACTCTTTAACATTTACCTGAATCCACTGGAAGAGATCATCCATTGATTTGGGATGTGGTATCCTCAGGATGTTGATGATATCCAGTTGTGTATCTTCACCCCCCAAAATTTGTGTTTTTTTAATATATAAAAAGATATACAAATGAAAAAGCAATTAGCAACAACAGGAGAAAGAGAACAGTGAAAAAAGAGTTTGTCAGATAACTCTCTGAGTTTTAACAAAAGGACATAATTGTTGAGTAGGTGAATGTAGCCTGTCAAATGTTAAAGATGGAATCATGATTAAAGCAGGATATTGCGTGTTTCTAACTATATATTGAGTGAAAATACATCAAAGTCCTAAGGAGTTTGGCACTTACCTGAATAATAGATTAAGTCATCATGGCTGCGTTCACGCAACATGGCTGAGTGAATCATCTTTCTGCCAGTTAGCGTATTTCCATGTACTAGCAGCCCAGTCAGAATGACTCAATCCATCATTTGTCAATCATTTTTTAGACTTTTTAGTAAATGCAAAGCATCTGAGAGGCTATTACTTTCTTTTAGCTTCTGTTTTTCTCTTTTTTGCTGGAAAGGAAGAAAAGTGGTAGGGTTAGAATTGGTGCTCCAGTGGACATGATCTCAAGGCAGTGGTATCCACTCTTTCTCCTTTTCACTTCCACTCCTGCCAGTGTGGCTACTGGAAGATGAAAACCAGTAATAGTCACAGAGATTAAATGCCTAGAAGTGCCCCAATAATGTGGAACAAACTCTCCACAGTAGGATCTTACCAGGAAAGGCAGAGGAATCAATTAAATTCCCCACTACATTTTTTGGATGATACGGTAATTGCAGGAATTACTCTACCTGCCAAAAAATTCAGGGCTGTTTGAGCCTAAATATTGTCCTTAGGGACAATTTACAGAGTCAACTGACCCATTTTCCCTATTCATATAACATACTAAACTGTCTTCCCATTGTTCATTTACATTTGTCATGCAAGTAGGGCCAACATGAATCATTCTTATGCATAATGTAGGAGAAAATATGGTGTTCGTTAGGACAAGCAAAACATCCCCCTCCCTAAATTGCCTTCCCAAACAATAGGCCATGTCAGCTCAGTGATAAAAAGCACTTAGAAGGCCAAGCAATGTTGATAAAGCTGGGAAAAGATACTAGGAGGCAAGCAAAGGCTCTGGGAAGCAAGGCCAATATAAGATAAACCCATAAAAACAATTCTTTAGAAATGAACTATGTTACTAAAATACTGCCTTTGTCCTGTCAATACATTGTTTTTGTAGTTCCACATTGTTACTACATAGAAACTGCCCGATATATGACCCCACAACATGAACCATTTACATGTATGCTTAACCCAATCATATCACTTAATCATATGCATATTTTCATTTGCATAAACCTATAAACCAGCTCTTTTTAGGTTTGCTTTAGGTTGTCACTGGTACCATAATAAACAATTTATGCTTCAATGGAAGGGTATGCTGGCCTCCCTTACAAACAAACTCTTGAAAGAAATGGAAATTGGGGACTATATCTCCAAAAATTATTGCAGTCTGAGGGGGCTTTAGGCCAAAAGATTGGGAGGCAAAAGTAGTGTGGCTGCATTCTAACTGATAAATGAGCCCTTCTATTAAGCATCTATCCAGACAGACAGACAGACAGCATCTACCTGTAAAGGTAGATTAGGGCAATAATTTGCAGAAGCCTGGAGAACATGACACCATTAAGGGTTAGTGTTAGCTCTGGTGTAGTCAATGTAAAGAGTGTCATTGAGTAAGAGAGAAATCTTGTGCGCTACATGAGGGAAGCTTCTACTTCTCCCACAATAAAAGGTTTCCTAGGGCCCATCATCACGCCATTCAAACAGAATAGTCATATGTCAAGAGTGTACCCATATATTATTTCACCACCCCATTTGGTTCTGTTAAATAAATGCACACACAAATCAGGAAAGGAAAAGGGGTAAGAAATGCAGATTGACATTGGTGACTCACACCTGTAAATGTTTTTTAAAAGCTTTTCAAGCGTGATAATAGATGGCTCCCATTTAACAGTTCTATAGTTTCATAATACATACAGGTAGTCCTTGCCTAACAACCACAATTGGGACCAGTAACTTTGTTGCTAAGCGGAAAATCATATGACTGCGATGGGCTTACAACCTTACTTCCTCTTTGGTTGTTAAACGAAGTGCTGTGGTCACTAAGTGAAAAACCATGTGACTGCTTACAGTTTTACTTCTGCTTTCTATATTAACTCTGTTTGTTGTGGACTGGTTATGAAGCACACAAAGGGCGATCACAGGACTGCGGGACTGTGCACCAGTTGTGAAGCACACAAATGGCAATCATGTGATCATAGGATGCTTCAATGGTTGCAAATGTGAGGATTGGTCACAAACTTACTTGTTTAGCACCATCATAATTTTGAACAATCGCTGCATGAAGCAGTTGGTAAGCGAGGACTACCTGTAGTAATCAGCAGGTTCTACTCCCATATGTATCCCCCACCAATTGCAAGTGATCAAGAAGAGTACAAAGCCAATAATCATTTAACACAAGCAGATGTGAAGGGTTTTCAATGCAGAAACAGTATAAGGCTGGAGCAGAGCTTTCAGGGTACCAGTGCCCAAAGTTCAAATAGTCCACGGATGGTGATGGTGGTTAACCTGATCATATTTCAGCTGGTCTTTCTTCAATTTTATATTGGAGGAGTGATGGTAAATCACTTGCTAGGTCAAGTGGGGCCAGATAGCAGATCCTCTGAAGGAGTTACTTTCCAACAATGGGATGTGTGCATCCAGGCATCTTGACCCTTGCATTTCAAAGCACTGTGAATTGTCCCAACACTTTATGGTATGATCCTATCCACTGTGATAATAGGCAATCGTTTCTCCAGTATTCATGGATAAGGATATAGTTGCCATGCTACTAAGTTAGGAGACTTGGTCGCTAGTTTCACCATGGTGGAAATAGACTGAAGTCATATAGTGAGGGACAGACAGTGCTGTACTAGATCTTCATCTAGGCTAGCAAGGTTTCCTTTTGCAGTAAGCCAATTGGGGCTGGTTTGTCTCTGCATTGGCCAACCATACACAATTTCAAAAGGAGAAAGCCATGTTTTCTGTTAGGAATGGTTCTGATTCCCATGACAATACCTGTACAGGTAGTCCTTGACTTACAACCACAATTGGGACAAGAATTTCCATTGCTAAGCGATGTGGTCATAAAGCGAGATGTCATGTGACTGCATCACTTAGCAATGGCAATCCCAGCAGTCCTGGTAGCTGTCGTTAACTGAGAATTGTGGGTCATTGAGTACCTACCATTCTAGGCTTGGTCCATTCCAGCCCCAAGCCTCAGTAAGATAAGGGACTGCCTCTGACTCCCCCCCACCTATCTCCCCCTACTTTGGCTGCCCTGCACCCTGCCTTGTGGGGCAGCAAGCAGCCCCAGAACCGTGTGGCACTGGGGCTGCTTGCCACGCCCCAGGAAGCCACAGTCACCCCAGCCCAGTCCCAGCTGCAGTTGTCTTCACTACCCTACACTCCAAAACCCCTGCCTCCCATGCTCTGCTGCCCCAGCTGATCTTTGCCATCTTCTTCCTGCTGCTGATGAGGTGTGCCTGATGTGGCTGCTGGGCCAGGCTGGGGCTGGCTTTATGCTGCAAAAAAAACCAAAACAAAACCCAGAGCCGTGGTGCACCAAAAAGCCCCTTTGTGCTGCATTCTTGGGCCGGACTGGGACTGGCTTTGCACTGTGTGCCCCTTAGCCCCAGCCCGCCTAGGAGCATAGCGCAGAGGGGCTTTTTGGTGCACCATGGCTCAGGAACTGCTTTTTACTTTTTTTTTTTTTACAACATGAAGCCAGCCCTGGCCCGGGCCAGAAGTGTGGCGCAAAGGGGCTTTTTGGCACACTGCAGCTCTGGGGCTGCTTTTTGCTTTTTTGCTTTTTTTTTTTTTTCCACAGTGAGAAGCCCAGCCCCAGCCTGGCCTACCTCATCAGCAGTGGGAGTAAGAAGATGACAAAAGTCAGCTGGGGTGGTGGAGCGCAGGGTGGCAAGGAGCCAAAAGGGCATAGATGGGGGGAGTTGAAGCGCCCTTGTGGTTGTGTGGGCGGGTTGCCAAGTGCCTGGATTTTGATCACGTGACTGCAGGGGTGCTGCAATGGCTGTAACTTTGGGCATGGGTCATAAGTCCCTTCGTTCAGTGCTGCCGCAACTTGAAAAGGTCACTGAATGAATTATTGTAAGTCAAGGGCTACCTGTATATGGAAGGACATCTGGCCATGAGAAGCCAGTATCAGCAGTATTTTTGGCTAATTGATTTTTAATGTCTTGGTTCTACCTCTTTACTTAGACAGAACTTTGTGGATTTGGGCGTGTGGATCTGTAGCCTGATACCCATAGCTTTGCAAATATTATGGTCACTTAACTGGTGAAATGAGCACTCGTGTTGGAATCTTATGAGAGAAGGAAGCTCCTCTTAGGAATAAATGAGTTAACAGTTTCTTTGCTACAGTGGCATCCACACAGTGATGGGTAAGATGCTATCCTGAAAAAGTGCAGACCATTACCAACAAATAACAAAGCCCATTCTTTTTGGAATCTGTCAGGATGGTATATACACTCCACCTACCCTTAAGCTCTCAGAGAGAAACAGAGATACAGAATTTACCTTATGTCATGTCTCCATGTATGAGGTTTTACATGACTTTCACTACCACCCTCCAGGGGAAGGGCAGAATTTCTCTATATTTTAACTTAGATATGTCCTAAAAGTAGTGCATTGTATGTAGTCATCCCAAGTGCAATGTTCATGAATTCAGTTCCTGGTACAGGGTTTGTACTGCACGGAATAAGATCTGGCTATGTGCTTTTGACAATTCCTAATAGGGATGAAACTGGTTATGTATTGTTTCCTGGTAATCAATGTAACACTCCTTTTGGGGAGTTCTGCAAAACTTGGAAGGGTTCCTGTGCCCAAGTTCTGGTTACTGAGAGGGTAACCTCTCCCTTGGCAGAAGGTACCTGGGGCAGGAGGAATACAGATATTGAGCTTCTTGATGGATAAAAGGAGCATACTAGATAAACAAAATTGACCCCCCCCTCTTTTTTTGGCTCTTCCTGCATAATGTAAATCAAATATAGAGCCACTGGGCATCTGTCTGGATGTTGCCAGATCCCTTGGGAGTTTGCTGCACATCTTACACATACCCAGCAGCAGTATTCTTGAGTGCAGGCTCCATCTTGTAGACATTTGAGGTCCTCTGGGATGAACTGGATTAGAGTAGGAAGTAGAGATTGAATGTCTCTCAGGGGAGAAGATGCAGAGTTACAAGCTGCTGTTGCTGCTTATAAATCCATTTTCCCTTCACCTTCCAAAGAGTAAAGCTGTAAGTGGTTTTGGATACACATCTTCCAAACAGAAACACAGATGTTGCAAAATTCTGAGATCAAAAGTTTTGCTGAGTGGGAACTGGAACTCCTTGGTGGATTTTATATAGGCATGCCATTTGTGTGGATATTTAATGGCCCAAAAGTCATAAATACTTTGCATGAGTTGGAATCTTGCTGGCTAGATCTGTAGCTGGGACACCACCTGCTATACTCTAAGGCCCTAAAATGCTAGA